ACATAGTATTAAAATTAATACATTTTCAATATATTTGAATTATAAGAATACATACTATGTTGTTGCTGGCTCAATTTGTCCATCGCCATGCATTGTGACAAATGATTGCATTTCATGATATAGTTGTCATACGATATGATCTGAATTTGTTGCTCCAGTCGTTGTATATATCGCTCGCATTCGTGTAGTACTGATGACTTGCATTTGGTCTCAATATTCCTATCGCTTAACAATTGCCGCAAACATACAAAAGCTTTGTCTAAGTTTTGCATATCTTTTCTAATTTGTAATTAATGTTATAAATATATCTTATTTTAACCTTTATTTATATTCATACCTACTTTACTGAATACATTATCACATTTGTATAATAATTACTATTAGTACAAAACATAGTACAATAATACAAGTACATTAATAACTATACTAATAATAATAATATATTATTGATAAATTCATAATTTATTTTCCACATTAAATGTGATTAACAAATTTTCCTTATTCATACAAACTAGTCATTTAAATACGTGTTTATTCAAGACAATTTTATATTTATCTATATTTTCTTCTAGTAACTTAAGTTATATAAATCGTTTGATAATTTAATTCATTTATAATGATGATAAGATAATTAACATACTAAGTTATTTAAAAGTAATTATACTATAATACCTCGTTTATTATCTCATTTTATACTTAATACAAATAATTAAAATGTTTACATATAATATCTATATAATTATAGCCTATTATTAATATTGCATACTTACAATTAGTAAATATCCCATAATGATTAAAACTACGTTAGTTATATCATTTCAAAGTCATCAATATAAAACCTCATTAATATTCAATTAACAAGAAATTAAATTCATTAAATTTAATACCCTTGTATAGTAACTCAAAATGTATACTACATCATTTGTAATATAACCAGTATAAATAGCGTGTATAAAATATTTAATTTAATTTTATAGGTCTAATATCAAATATAAATTATGTTGTATATTCACAAAGGTATGATATTGTATTAAAATTCTTATTTATTTAAATTTAAATGATGTTTAATTTATATTTCAGATCTTATATGAAATGCTGCATGAACATCCATATAAAATAAATCCGTAAATCATGTTAAATTGATGTAAACTTTTAACTAGTAAAAGTCTAAATTAAATGTACTGTATATTACAGATGATAACATTTTAAATAAAGCCTTTATAAAAATCTATGTTTAATACAATTGATTTTTGATACTAAATAACATATACGTGAATAATCGCAATAAATAAAATATTTCTTGGCCCCATTAGGACACATAGTCAAAATTAACATTGGTCATAAAAATAATTATAAATTTGTTTTTTAAATTCCCATAAAACAATTGTTAAGTTCCGTGCAATGGATTCTCTGATTATGATTATCAGATCATTTCTAAACTATAACACATTGTAATTCATAAATTAATTTTAAACTTTAAAGATCTTTTAAATTATAATATACAATATTTTACGGAGGAATTTAATATCAAGTAATTGATGACTTTACATACTGTAGTATTTACAACTAAAGCTACAATCAATAAAAACAACTGTACTAAGTTAGTAAATGATATATTGTAACAAAATCATATTCATTTAAATAATGTTGCATTGTTTGTTACAGTGAGCTATAATCAATAATAAAATTTGCATAATTTATATACTTTACAAATAATTCAAAAATTCACAAAAGATAGCCCACTCAGTGATTAATTGACTAAATATTATAATTATATGTTATATATCAATTGCGTAAATATATATATATTATTTAAAAAACAATTATAATCTGTAAACTGTTATTATAAATAAATTATAAATATTCTACGTAATGTAATTATTGAGTATTTAAACTTTTAAAGTTAAAATAATATTTAGAAAAAATAATAAACTAGTCTTTGGCCAACATTGACTGAAAAACATTTACAAATTCACTGAAACCATGGCTAAAGATATTCGTTACAACTATTATAACATTATTGAATACAATCCAAACAAATGGTCAAAGAATTGGACAGAATTCTCCGGATTCTCGTATATTCCGGGAGTAACCGAATGGGAGAACTGGTTGTTTGATAAACTAAACGCCGATTCATTGCATGAGTATATGCAACAGAAATGGCATTATTCTGTGTATATATCTATCGGTTATATCATATTAATACCACTTTTGAAGCAATGGATGAAAATGCGTGGAAAGCCTTATAATCTGAGAACTTTATTAACGTTTTGGAACTCATTTTTGGCCGTATTTTCCATAATAGGAGTCATCAGATGTTTACCAGAATTTGTGCACATTTTAAGCACTAAAGGATTCACAGCTTCATTCTGTCAGTCAGACTACTATAAGGACAGTCGACTCAACTGGTGGTACCTCCTATTCGTTTGGTCTAAAGTTATAGAGTTAATCGATACCCTGTTTATTCTGCTGAGAAATGGCAAATTACTAACCCTTCATTGGGTACACCATGTGCTAACACTATGCTATTCGTGGTATGTTTTCGGTGACGTTCCCGCGACCGCCCGATGGATGGTTGGCATGAATTTCATCGCACATTCACTTATGTATACCTATTA